TATAGTAGAATGTAGGATTTCTATCATAGGAAGTAAGTACCTATATAGTCGAATGTAGGGTTTCTATCATAGGAATGATTATTCTGGTTTGGGCAAGTATCTTCCGTAGACGTACTTAGGACCCTGTGAGGAGATCGTTCTCTCGAAGGCCCTCGAAGCTAAGTTTGAAACCATGGGTTTAGGGTTTAGGGTTTAGGGTTTAACTACTAGGGGCCCTAACGCCTGGGATCCTTATATACCTACTATATACCCTATATGCACCCCAGAAGGGTCCCTAGAATCCCCAAGGGTCCATATTAGGGGCCCATACTCCTAACCTTCGATCAAAGCACCCGTATGCAACACGTGCAAGTAGAAGCAGAAGCCCCCAAACTCAACACGAAACTCCTGAGCACATAAGCCCTGTACATCGTAAAGCCTAAAGCCCTAGGGTTTAGGGTTTAGGGTTTGTAAACCCTATAAACTCCAAGCCCTGTTCATCACAAAGCCTCAAGCCCTTATAAACCCTAAACCTTTCAAGCCTAAACCCTAAATTCCAAATCCAAGACCCCCAGAGCCCCCCCAAACCCGTTTCCACGCTCAGGTTGCTGTACTCTCTTGATCTTGGCGGTGGTGATCTTGCAGCCTGGCACGATATATCCCTGAACCCTAAACCCCAAACCCCTAGACCCCATGAGCCCTAAACCCCAAACCCTAAACCCTATAAACCCTAGACCCTATACCCTAAACCCTATAAGCCCTAGACCCTATACCCTAAACCCTATACACCCTAAACCCCAAACCCTAAAACCCTATACTAAATTCTTCAAGGTCCCTTTGCGTGTGTACGATTAGCCGCAGCACCCTTGGGGGAGTTGCTTGGAGATGGGAGTTCGGGGTGTTTGGTGTAGCTTTGGAAATTGATTCAGGGTTTGCGGTTTGGGGTTTAGGGGTTTGGGGTTTAGGGTTAGGGTTTGGGGTTTAGGGTTTAGGGTTTAGGGTTTTGGGGTTTAGGGGTTTAGGGTTTCGTGTTTAGGGTTTGGTTACGGGTTTGGCGCGCAAGGTTGAAGATGTGGTTTCACGGGGAGATCCAGGGCATTCGGGTTTAGAGTTTATACCCATAGGCCCCATAGTAGTTCCTTTCTGGGATTACCTACTAGGATCCTAAATCTATAGACCACAAAAAGAAACTACTATATTATAGGAGCCTTGTAGAAGGTCTATATACCTTATTATAGAAGTCTTATAATAGAAGCCCTATATACCCTAAGCCCCCCACGTGCAGTTTCCTTCAAATCAAGGGCATTCGGGCTTAGAGTTTATAGGGCGTAGGCAGGGGGAGGCAGGCGTCTCCCTCCTGCAGCATGGGCGGTGACGGGGACAGGGTTTAGGGCTTATAGGGTTTATAGGGTTTAGGGTTTATAGGGTTTAGGGTTTATGGTTGTTAGGGTTTAGGGTATGGAATGTAGAGGTCTGAATGATCCCTCATACTCCGCGTGTGTGCTTTTGTGCCCGCAAGCCCCGGTCTAATGATTCAGCGCTCCCTGCATGAGCATGTGGAGCTCGCAAGAGACTTTTTCTTATCGCTGTATAGTGTATGAAACTACAGAGTGGGCCATGACCCACCGGACATCTTACAGGACACCCTCCAGCACGGTAGTGTTCCAAATCTCATACGTGGCTGCGTTCCTGCACGCTTTTTCGTTGTAGCCGCCTTCAGCTCTGCAGCCGGAATGCGAAAGTTTGATTCGTACCCCTAAGGCCCTAAGCCTACACCTCAAATCCAAGCTCCCATGCCCCAAACCCTACAACTGAATCTGTGTCTGTATCCACCCAGAACTCCTAAATCCAAAATCCCGAACCCTTGTCCGAAACCACCCCCTCAAACAAAAACTTAAACTCTGAGTCCTAAACCCTAAACCCTCCTTCCAAACGGGAAAGAGTCCCAATTCAAGCTCTAAGACTCTAACCCTAAACCCTAAACCCTAAACCCTAAACCCTAAACCCTAAACCCTAAACCCTAAACCCTAAACTCTAAACCAGACTCTAAGCCTTCCAGCCAAAAAGCCTCATACCCCGCGTCTGACTAAGTCGTTTAATCACGTTGGGCGACTTCGTCTCCACCATGCCAGACGTTGTCGAAACATGCGTCGACCAGCCACTGCGAAGCAGTCTTTGGGCGGTGTAAAATCTGAGGGGTTACGGTTGGTTTAGGGCTTATAGAGAGTTTTAAGGATAAAGGTTCAGGGTTTGGGCTCTACTGTTTCGAATTTAGGAAGTGCGGTCGTTATCGCTTGCATGGTCAGAGTGCTTTGGGGTTCAACTGCGACTTTCCAGGCGTGAGGCTTGGTGTGATGAGACTTAGCCCCAAACTCTAAACCCAGAGAAGCCCTAATCCCTAATCCCTGAAGCCCTGAAGCCCTAAACCCTAATCCCCGAAGCCCTAAACCCCAAACCCTAAACCCTAATGGGAGAGGGGTCAAAAAAATTTAAAAAGGATCAACGAAAAATTAAAAAGGATCAAAAAACAATTTAAAAAGGATCAAAAACATATTTACGACTTACAAGGCAATTGGTTGCTTTCCTGGCTTAGTGGCTTCCGGCTTCACGGCTTCCTAGCTTTTTGGCTTCTCGGCTTCCCAGCTTGTCGGCTTCGCGGCTTCTTGGCTTCCCGCTTCTCGGCTTCTTGGCTTCGCGGCTTCTCGGCTTCGCGGCTTCTCGGCTTCTTGGCTTCTGGGCTTCTCGGCTTCT